GATAGAATCAAATTCAGAATGAACAAGAAAATACTCAAGGGGATCAAAATCATGAGGTATAGAAACTCCCATATCCATAAGTGAATCAATCATGTATGTTTGGTGGCTCTCGTCATCATCTGCTGGCTGTTTTGCAATATGGAAAATATTCACCTCGAGAGTCATGTTTCCAAAAGACAGCTTCATGAGCCCGTTCCTGCAATTAATAAGAGCATTAGTAGTGGCAAGAAAATGCCTACCTAAAATCAAAAGAATTTTAGAAGTAGTATCAACAACAGAGCTAGTGTCGAGGATTAGAAAATCAACAGGATAATAAAATTTGTCAATTCGAATTAGAACATTCTCTACCACACCCTGAGGTACTTTGACTGAATGGTCGGCCAATTGCAATACCACAGTGGTTGGTTTGATTTCTCCCAACCCTAACTGCAAATAAATAGAATATGGCATTATATTCACGCTAGCTCCTAAATCTAACAAAGTTTGCCCAAACTCATGGTTTTCAATGTTGCACGCAATGGTTGGACAACTAGGATCCTTGTACTTGGGAGGAATCCGCTGCTTAATTAGAGCACTAACTTGCTCTGTCAGGAATGCTGTCTTCTTCACATGGTGTTTCCTCTTAATTATACATAAATCTTTGAGAACTTTTGCATAAGTAGGAACTTGTTTAATCACATGCAAAAGAGGAAGATTGATTTTTACCTGCCTTAGATTCTCTAGGATTTCATTGTTTGGAAGTCTTCTTCACATGGTGCTTCCTCTTAACTATACACAAATCTTTGAGAACTTTTGCATAAGTAGGAACTTGTTTAATCACATGCAAAAGAGGAAGATTGATTTTTACCTGCCTTAGATTCTCTAGGATTTCATTGTTTGGATCCAGAGTTTGCTTGCTTGATTTTAAAGCTTGAGGGAATGGTACCTTAACAAGAATCTTTGTTACCTCAGGTTCCTTGGGTAGCTCGGCATCAGTATTATCTTGATCATTTTCCACATCCTCTGATTTGTCCATTGATGAGTCACCACTTCGTGTCACAATGGCATTTACATCCTTCAAATTCTCTTGTGCCATGTGTTGGCCCTGGGGTGCGGACTGAGCTTGAGAAGGGAACTTACCTCGCTCATTCACACTCAAAGAGCTCATCAATTTGGACACTTGGCTCTTTATCTCTTTGTTTTCTTCAATGACCTGCATAATCAAATATTCAAACTTTTGGTTAGTCTTACCCTGTGTCTCAATAAAAGCATGCAAAGTGTCTTCTAAAGGACTCCTAAAAGATGAAGGTGCATGATAAGGTGCAGGATATGATTTAGGGGGTTGTGCAGGCGGTTGATTTTCAAACTTCCAGCTAAAATTGGGGTGATTGGGCCACCCCGAATTATAGGTATCAGAATAAGGTGTAAAAGGCTTCTTGTACATACCTAAGGTATTACATTGTTCCTTATACATCCCTCTCATCTCAGCGAGTGTGAGACATTCTTGGGTAAAGTGATCTACCCCGCCACACACAAAACATGGTCCAAAAAACTCTACATGATTAGCCATGTGTGTTGGCTTTAAGTCCTTAGTCTTTAACATATCTAGCTCCCTAGTGAGCATTTCAACCTTAGCCTTTAGGCTATCCTCTTCCCTGAGATGGTAAATTCCACCACCATTTGGGTTTCTTGTAGTTCATGACCTATCTGTGCTTTCAATAGCACTAGGTCCAGTCCAAGTGTGAGTTTTTTCAGCAAGCTCATTGAGGTATTCTTTGGCCTCATCAGGATCTTTTTGTAAGAATTCACCATTACACATCATCTCCACAAATTGGCGCTCTCTAGGTGTAAGTCCCTCATAAAAATAGCTCACTAACCACCAATTCTCATACCCATGGTGAGGACACACACTCAACAACTCCTTAAATTTCTCCCAAGACTGATACAAGGTCTCACTATCCTTTTGTGCAAAGGTGGAGATTTGTCTTTTTAAAGCGTTGGTCTTATGTTGAGGAAAATATTTATTAAAGAAGACCTGAGTCATCTCACTCCATGACCCAATAGATCGTGGTCTCAGTGAATATAGCCAACTCTTAGCTCTATCCTTCAAAGAAAAAGGAAAGAACTTAAGTTTCACAACATCATCAAGTGCAATTTGATTATGAAAAGTCGCAACTACTTTCTCAAACTCCCTAATGTGCACATATGAATTTTCATTTTCCAAGCCATGAAAATTAGGGAGTAACTGTATCACCCCTGTTTTAAAATCCAGTTGGCGAGTATAAGTTGGAAACATGATGCATGATGGTGTGGCTGTGCGTGTAGGGTGGAGGTAATCATGAAGAGTTCTAATGGGTTGATTTTCATGTTCACCCATTTTTTCGGGACTTGATGGATTTTCAAATAAAGGATTTATAAAATCTGATTCTAATTCTACCAAAGGCCTACTAGCAAATCTACCTAAGGTGTCCCTATATCTGTGCATGCGAGACAATGGAATACTAAAAGAATAAAAATACTATAAAAAGAAAGAATAATAATAATAATAATAATGCAGCAAGCTAAAAGAAGGAACGAAGTTACCGCTTTTGCAGACTGTTGAAAAGAAAAACTATCTACCAATTCTTCTACCGTCTCCCCTGCAATGGCGCCAAATTTTTTTTACGCCCAAAGAATAACGCGGTAATTGTAGCACAGCTTTGGGGTGTCGATTCTACAAAGAGACAAATTAAAAGAATAATAGAATGAACAAATAAACTAAACAAGAATATTAAATGACTACTAGATAATAAAGATTAATTTTAAATGCAAATTAAAGTGAAACACGTGACTAACGGAAAAAGTATTCAAATTTGACAAATAGTAAAGAGTCGGGAATCCCTTGCACAAATCTAGTATTTTAATTATTCTTAATTCATTGAATAACTCAATTGAGAATTTAATTTCCAAAATTTCCAACCGGAAGATATAGATTTATAAACCAAGATTAAACCCAATATAACCCTTTGAAAAATTATTCACCACTTTTAAAATACGTAAATTATTATCACTATTGAGAAAATTCAACGACGACAACATACTCAATAAAGCAATGTTACAACAAAGAATTAAATCAATATAGATAAATAATTGGTCCAAACATAATCAAAGAATTAATCCATTCAATAGAAAAAGCATAGCTGAATCCATAAACATAATAAATTCTATGATTATTTATAGAAGAAAATATCAACAATAAATTGAGAATGATAAAACAAAAGAGTTTTAGTATTAAAAATCAACTGCATAAATTAAAAATAAATAAAATATCATTTACTGTGCAAGTTTATCCCTCGTCTTACCTGAAAATTTAGTTATCCATAAATATAATGGATAACAAAAATCTCCTAAGAAAAATAGAACAAACCGGTGACATCTGATCTGCGTCTGCTCCCCACCGAAAATAGCCGCTGTCTTCCTTTTCTTTTTCTTTTTCTCCAGCCGCCGCACACAGGAAAATAAAAAGCCAGCCCACACAAAGGTGAAGAATAGGTTTTAAAGTCAAACTCCTTTTAAAAATTACCTTTTCTTCCTTTCTTTTTCTAGCCCTTTTCACTTTAGTCCCTCTTTATTCCAGCTTCTCTGTTTCAGCCCCCAAAGCCCAACTTGTGTGAAATTTGAAGAAGATAAAGTCCAATAAAAATTATAAGTGTCGGGCCCACATGATAGCTACATCAATTTCAGTCTTTTTATTCCATGGACTGCCATCAAGAAAAAAAAACAAATATAAAAGCCCAATAATAAATTATTTCTTACTAACCAATAATGCAATATTTAAGATTTAAAATGTTATAAAATCATGCTCAATTATATCTCAGTGTGAATAGATATTAAATTCAATAATATAAATTATATCTAATTATTTATATTCATATTTCAGCAATTTAATCCAATAATAGGGTATTCAAAATGCATTTTCGCGCACTTATCAGGGATCAACATAGACACATAGGATCAGGAGCTTCCAATAATATCATGTCAGACATATCCACGATAGAAGTCAAACTCGTAAGTACTCATTCTCCAAATGCAATTGGTGTTTTTAAAAAACATCGAAACATATTAATAATTGGAGTTAATGCAGGGTTGCATGCGGTTTGCGTGTATGTTACATAATGAAAAAACTTCCAAAAGGAGAAGAGATTGAGGAGAGGTTAACAGCAAGACATCTGACTGAGTTCCGAGCTGAAATGGTATCATTGTTTCTCAACCATCCAAATTCTTGGAATGAAGAAGATCTAAAAGTCCGTAGGAAATGAAGAAAAAATTTGCAGACAAATGACAAATTTTTCATTGCTTATATACTTTACAATTGATGATTATTGTAAGATGAGACATTTATGGTGATTGGTGATTGGTGATTGGTGATTCTCCAGAATGTCCAGGGATACAGGTGTTTATTCATTGTTGATTAATGGAGACCCTGCCAAAGTGTAACATCGAAAGTGTAACATGGTAACATTGAAAGTGTAACATATTTACACTTGCATCTAAACAAATGCACATTAGTGTATGGTGAGACATGGATGTACATGTTCTGCTTTGTGTGACATTGTGGTGTGTGGTGATTGATTTTTATCCAAAATTTTCAGGGATACAGGTGTTTATTCATTGTTGATTAATGGAGACTATGCCAAGTGTAACATCGAAAGTGTAACATGGTAACATTGAAAGTGTAATATATTTACACTTGCATCTAAACAAATGCACATTAGTGTATGGTGAGACACGGATGTGCATGTTCTGCTTTGTGTGACATTGTGGTGTGTGGTGATTGGTTTTTATCTATAATGTCCAAGGATACAGGTGTTTATTCATTGTTGATTAATGGATACCATGTCAAAGTGTAACAGGGTAACATTGAAAGTGTAACATGTTTACACTTGCATCTACACAAATTCACATTAGTGAATGGTGATACATGGATGTAAATATTCTACTTTGTATGATATTGTGGTGTGTGGTGATTGGTGTTTATCCAGAATGTCCAAGGAAAGTCACCTAAGAGGGCAGATGACTGTAAAGGGAAAGAATTGTTAGCCGATTTAAGGATCAGTTCAGCTTATGTTGTGATGACTAAGGCCATATGGATTAAGTGCGATCCCCTTCCTGCTAGTGCACTAAAACTAAATGTTGATGGTGCAGCTAAAGGCTCATCTGGACTTTCTGGGGGTGGAATGATTAATAGAGATTTGGAAGGTCATCTGTTGGTAGCTGCTTCTTCATTTTATGAGAGAGGCATTAATACACAAGTTGAATGTATGGCCCTATTGCAGGGGTTGAAACTGATTTTTAGATGTAATTGGGAGAGTTATCAGATTTACATTGAATCTGACTCTCAGATCTTAGTGCAGATGTGACACCCCAAAATCCGGGGGTCCGTTGATTACCCATCAACCCGCGGAATACCCGTAAATACCGAGTGACTCGATATCACACCGTTATGTCCCATTTACCGAGGTCCATAACTTAACAAAATTTGGGCAGAGTCTCCTTTGTACAGGGAACTCTACCCAATACCCAACCTGTGCAACATAACTCACATGACCCATCTGAGGCCCAATATAAACAATGACCGCACCGGGTCCATTTATAAGTAAACATTGACCACACCGGGTCCAATTATCCATATTTATAGCAAAACATGCAAGGTTACTTTAACATTAGTGCATATATGTAATAGTTATCATTTAAATCCACCAAGGTCTAATAAGCCTCAATATACCTCAATTAGTGTCCATTTGTATCCTTGGAACTAGAGAAATCCAAGTCCATTGGTGTTCTTTAAATCAAAGAAATCCAAGCCTGGAAGCTTAGTGCATAGTTTGAAAAATTTCGGTTTTAGAGTCACCGTTCGAACAGCACTATTCACATTCGAACGTCCCTTGGTTTTGAAAAATAGGTAGCTCCCAGTACATTTGGTTCTCTGCTGGTTTTGCTGTTCAAAACTCGCACCATTCGAACGTCACTTTACGTTCGAACAGAAAATGCAGTTTCTGTTCTGCTGCAACTTCCAGTGCGGTTTTGACCTGTTTAGAAGTGGAATTGAGAAAATTGCATAAAACCACTTTTGTAGCCCTAGGTGTCTACTACCTACTGTAAAAATTTCAGATCATTTGGACGTCACAATAAAAAGTTATGGCTCAAACACTAAGCAGTGTCTGAAATTTCTGTGTATGATTTCAACCCCAAATCAATCCATGGTTATCCAAAACTTATACAACATCTATTTGATACCAAATATAGTCAATACAAGTTCTAATACAACTATTTCCATACTTTTACATGCCAAAATGGAAATTAACCAAAAGTTTTACAAAAACTAAATTCAAAAGCCACAACCCGGCTTTTCTTCAACCAAGAGCCCCCGAATGAGAGCCATCCACTGGAACGTGTCCCGTACCTGAAATTGTTTCCCGTATAGGGTGAGCACAACGCCCAATAGAGATAAACCTATAGAGGTTACTCTTCCCCTAGATGCACATGCTCATGTAATCATCACACAAACACACAACCAAGCATTTCTCACACTTATGCATCCTATGATGGAATGCAACAATGCTATGCCATGGAATGAAGTGACACTCACCCATGCTACTTTATTCCGAGCTCTCTCCAGCTCCCCAACACATGCAAGTGGCAATTTAGTCGAAACCACCATTTATGTTACACACAATGGCGTTAATCACTCTAGGGTCTTGTATAGGGGTGGATGTTCATGGACTTACACCAAGGGCCTCCAACCCACACGAAATTTACGGACTTCGACCGAGGGTTCCGAATACACCCACACACTTTATGGGCCGAGCCAAGGGAGTGCGTAGCCCAATCACCGGGTCTTGCACCCGAGAGGTCGTCATGCCTCTTCTTGCTACCCCAACCCAATTCATCATGCAACCAAGCGGCTTAGCTAAGTCCTCGACCCAACTCTCCCAAGCCTTCCGTCAATCACCAAGTGTGGTATTGACGTCAAACATGCACTCACTCATGTAATGAGACACTTCCGTGCAAATGCAATGTGATGTTCCATTGCACACAAAATAATGCTCAATATGCTTATGACAAACATATAAACATTTTCATACATCAATGCAATTGTATCATAAGTATATAACTACCATATCTCATTATGCTCAATATATCATTTCATGCATATGTCAATAACACTCTTCATCCAAAAACCATATCCTAAGCATATGATTTCACAATCACCCAAGCATGTTATAACATAGCATCATGCAAGTAACACACTCAATTTCACTAGGGCATTTTATCAAACATCTTATAGTCATTCAAGTCATGTATTCACATAACACATTCCAAGGCATAGTTTATAAAACACATAGCATGCCTTAAGTTTTCACCAAGTTACAAAATAATCACATGGAACCTCCATATACCAAATTCAAGCTAGAAGCTAGCCTAAGCTATTCCTATGCTAATTTTTTTCACTTTCATACCCATAGACATATATGTATAACAATACATATGCATATACATAATTTTCACCCTTAGTCTAGCAACACCTAAGGTAAGAATAATCCAAAGTAGGAATAACCCCTACCTCTTAGGAGTGTAGAAAACCCCTAAAACACCAAAACCAACCCAAAAGCTTTGATCTCCAAAAATTCTTCCTTTGATTATTCGGTGAAATCACTTCCTTTTGGTACGTAGACGTAGCCCTTGACGAGGAGAACGATCTTTGTTCTTGGTCCAAGCGGATTTGAGCACTAGAATTATGTAGATCATAGAGAGAAGTTGAAGCTTTCCCTCTCCTTTCCCTCTCTTTTCTATCGGCTGAAGAGGATGCTGAACAATGGGGGAAAAATCTGATTTTTCCCCCTATTTATACTTTAGAACACTTGGCCCACAATTGGCCACATGTCCATTTTTAATTCCGGGTCCGTTTTTGTCCCGAACAATTAAATCTCGCCCCGGTTTAAATCTAAAATATTTTTATTTCAATTTATCTTATTTTATTGCCCAAAATTTAAAATTTTATAAAAAAATTCGTGTACAGGGTCACCCGAAGCCCGATCGCTCCGTAAAACGTGAAAAATTTGACTATCTCAGAATTCGACGAAAATTGACGTGGTAACTCGATTTCGCGAGACGAATCCAACGGTGAGGTCCGTTTTGTCATCCGAGTTACAAAAAATTTCAGATTTACAACCCGAATCATGGTGACAATTTACCATTTTACCCTTTATTCATAAAAGTTTAAATCTACCGGGATTTTACATTCTCCCCCCCTTAGAAGAATTTCGTCCCCGAAATTCTCACACACATGCACACTTAGACACATGCATATGCAATAAGTAACCTCATACTTAAAATTTTAAACATGTACCTCCATCCTCGAACAAAAATGGGTAATTGGTACGGATGGTGTCCTCACGCTCCCATGTCGCCTCCTCCACTCCTCGGTGCTGCCACAGCACCTTTACTAGCCTTACAGTCTTGCCCCGCAAAACCTGCTCCCTGCTATCCATGATGCGCACCGGTCCCTCCTCAAAGGTCCCATCCACATCAACAACAAGCTCGCCCCAATCTACCACATGAGTCGGATCTGGGATATACTTCCGGAGCATAGAGACATGGAATACCGCGTGAACACCCGATAGATTTGGCGGTAACGCCAACCGATAAGCAACTGCACCCACCCTCTCGAGTACTTCGAAGGGCCCAATGTACCTTGGCGACAGCTTTCCCCGCTTGCCGAACCTGACCACTCCTCTCGTAGGCATCACCTTCAAGAAGACATGATCTCCCACCTCAAACTCTAGAGGTCGTCGCCGTCTGTCAGCGTAGCTCTTTTGCCGGCTCTGAGCCGTGAGAAGACGCTTCCGTATCAAGCCCACCTTCTCTGAGGTGTCTCTAACCAAGTCCGGACCCGTAACAAGTCTCTCTCCAACTTCTGTCCAACAAATCGGAGATCGACATGGCCTCCCATATAGTGCCTCATAGGGTGCCATCTGTATACTCGCCTGATAACTATTGTTATAGGCGAACTCTACCAAGGGTAAATGATCTTCCCAGCTACCCTTAAGATCTAGGACACATGCCCGTAACATGTCTTCTAATGTCTGAATGGTTCTCTCAGACTGACCGTCCGTCTGGGGATGAAAAGCAGTGCTCATCATCAGTTGTGTCCCCATGGCTCGTTGAAAACTCTCCCAAAAATGAGCCGTAAACCTGGGATCCCGATCCGATACTATAGATACGGGTACCCCATGCAACCGGACAATCTCCCGTATATATAACCTACAAAATTCCTCCAGTGTGAAGGTCATCCGTACGGCCAAAAGGTGTGCCGACTTAGTAAGCCGGTCCACTATCACCCATACCGCGTCATGTCCCCGTGATGTCCGTGGCAAGTGAGTCACAAAATCCATCGTAACATGTTCCCACTTCCACTCAGCTACCTCCAATGGCTGGAGTAACCCTGCTGGTCTCTGGTGTTCAGCCTTCACTTGCTGACACGTGAGACATCTACTAACAAAATTACCAACTTGCCGCTTCATCCCATTCCAATAATACTGGCGACGAAGATCATGATACATCTTTGTGCCCCCTGGATGAACCGCAAAACGGGAGCAATGAAACTCCCTAAGGATCTCCTCTTTCAGATCCGCCAACTGAGGAACCGCAACCCTTCCTCGATACCGAAGACTACCATCCGAGTGAATGGCCCAGCCCTCGTCACCTGTACCTGCCTGTACACGGTCCCGGATAGACAATAGCTCTGTGTCCTGACTCTGGGACTCAATAACCCTGCTCAGTAGGGAAGGCGTAGCTATCAAACTCCCCAAAATACCCTGAGCCTGACCCATATAACATAGCCCGAACTGTCCCACAGTCTCGAGCATCTGCCACTCTCGGGAAGCCACTCTAGCCAGGATTCCCCGTGGTTTCCGACTGAGTGCATCAGCCACCACATTTGCCTTACCGGGATGGTAATGCAAGGTGAAGTCATAATCCTCCAGAAACTCCATCCACCTGCGTTGCCTCATGTTGAGGTCCCGCTGTGTAAAGATGTACTTCAAACTTTTGTGATCTGAAAATACCTCGAACTGCTCACCGTATAGATAATGGCGCCAAGCCTTCAAGGCAAAGACAATGGCTGCCAACTCCATATCATGTGTGGGGTAACTCTGCTCGTGGTTCTTTAACTGCCGAGAACCATAAGCTACCACTCTCCCGGACTGCATCAAGACGCATCCAAGTCCGTCCTTGGAGGCATCACAGTATACCGTATACTTCTGTCCCCTTTCCGGAACTATCAGAATAGGAGCTGATGTAAGCCTCCTCTTCAACTCTTGGAATGCCTTCTCACAAGCGTCATTCCACTCAAACTTGA